AATCTATGAGGTGGAATAATTTCTTATGGGAGTAATTTGCAGAAATTTGTGGGGATAAATCAATATGGTGAAGGAATTGAATTGGAGAATATTTTTAGCATTAGATGAGCTTACATCTTAGGCCCATCCATTAATGGGGAAAGACCCAATACCTTTGCATCACTTTATAAGCGTCAACTCCAAAATTGGAGCCACCATAACTTTTCTCTTCTTCTTCTTCTCTTCACGCCAACTTCCTCTGTCTTCTTCTCTATCTCTGTTCTTCATATCTTACTTGTTAAACTTCCACCAAATTAAACCCCACCCAACTTGTTAAATCCACCAAATTGAACCCACCCAACTTGATTTAAGTAATTAATCTTAGAGAATTAAGCTTGAGAAGTGATTTGTGGTGATTATTTTCAAAAAATTTGGAAATTCTCTACTTAAGCCAAAGATTGGGGAAACCTCTACCATGGAGCAAAGGTAAAGTTAGAGCTTAGAAAGCTTTAATTTAAGCTTGCTAAAGCTTCTTTTTAAGGTTAGTGATACAGATCAAGGGAGCAAGATGAAGGATCCTTTAGCTCTACCCGAGGGACCAATCACAAGAGCTCGTGCAACCAAGCTACGAACAGCCTTGAATAAAACTGAATTGATTTGTTGAACTTTTGGTTGCAAAACATGCTCTTGGGTGATGTTTGATGGAAGTATTTAGTATGGGGTAGAAATACTCTACTGGTGTATCTTTTGTTGTATGTTTCTTTCATTGTTAAAGAAAGGTGATTTTGGAAAACTTGTATTGGTGAGGTTAAGACTAGTTTTCGACTCATTTTCTTTGTTCCATTTTTGTGTTGAGTCCTTCATGCAAGTTGTAGTTAGAGCTGTGCTGTAGCTCCGAGACCGATCGCTGCTGGTGTCCAATTTGGAGGTTAATAAGCTTCAACTATAATGGCTGAAAAAACCTAAACTGACTTTCTTTTTATTGTCGTGGCCACATAGCATCCTGTATGATGACCACTACTCTCCAGATTTCGGTTCTGAGGTTCTTTATGAAAGTTGATTTCCCTGATGTCTTCGGACTTCCTTCGGTTCTGGCTTGCTTTTTAATTTTAGTGTTTTGGTTAAGTAGGATTCAATAAACATTGTTCCTGTTGTTGTTTGAGGTCTGTGTTCTAGCTTCTGATTTACACTCTTACGCATTTGATCTGGGCTTGTGGTCCCTTCATAACATTTGTATCATTTTATCTTGTTTCTATAGAATCTAAATTTCATTTTGGAGACCTTCTGTGTGCTGTCTTAAAAAACCATGCAGGAGGTTCAAGGATCTTTTAATGCTGGAAATTTCCTATTGCCTGACTCATAGGTTTATTTGGTTAAAATTAGTAGAGATTCGATGTGTGGATGTGAGTTCTCTTGATTATTTTGTATTTTTTGAGGAGTTGATTTTTGACAAAAAATAAGATTATTAAGTTGGAAAGAAGTGCTGTATATGTTGGGAGTATGTTTTAAGAATGATATGAAGGATGGAGAAGATCTTGTGAATTTGGTGATATAGTTGTGGAATGTGTAGATCAATTGCATGATGAGGATAGTAAATTGGTACGCGGGCGCATAAGAGTTATGATATAGCTATGCTTGGTGGAAGAGCGGAAATCCTTCCCTTGGTATTTCATAAGATGCCAACACTTCGTAGGGGGTAAGGCTGTTGTAGCGTAGTATGTTTGCTTAGTTAATAAGTATTAACATAAGTATAATTTTTATGATGATAAGAAGTTTCTTATGATAAATTTATATATGATGTTAAGAAGAAGTTTTAAAAGAATAGGAATATGTAGAAAGATTTTCCATATGGTTTAGTATTGGTATATCTATTATATAGTGATTTCAATTATTTCTTGACAGAATTTGGTAATTTTGTTAAGTAGTAAGTTAGAAATTTGATATGATGGGGTATAAGTAAGACAGAGTTGATAAGAATTATTGCTTTTGTGAAAGAGATGATTTTGATTTGGTCTACTATGATGATTTTGAAACGGGGTATGATGAGATTATTTTGTTATGTGAAGCTATGATCATATTCGTGTGGAGTTTTTATGTAGCTTCTCTGTATAAATAGAGTGGACCGACTTATTTGTGTGATGGGGGTGGTGCTTTCATAGGCCACGATTGTTGTGATCGGGGGTGGTGCCTTTCATAGGCCACGATTGTCTAGATGGGCTGTGTCTTACAACCGGACGATCAAATCTGCTTATGTTCATCTCGTATTAGTACGGACCTCTAACTAAAGAATTAACATATTTGTATTGTATAACTTGTCTTATTTACTTTCTGAGTGTATAATTTTAACGAATGAGATCATTATTATTTTAGTAAACCTGTAGTAACGTTGAAATTAATGATTTATGTTATATATGAATAAATTTTCAAAAAGTAATCGATATTCCTACGGTACATGGTTTAAATACATAAATTAGTATATGTATTTTTGTGTAATGTCGCAAGTAATGAATTTTATGGTTTGAAGAATTAAATTCTTGTATGTTATTATATAATAGTTTTGGATATTTCTTTTTGTCCTATAAATGTCTATTGTATGTGAAAATTTACATGATTTCATATGTCAATTTGTGTTTTAAAGTAGTTGCATCACAACTTTTAGTAATGTATGTGAATTATGAGCAACATGAAGGTTTCTAATAGTCAGCGCGTTGATTTTTATCACGCGTCCGGTTAAAGACTGTGGGTTGCTTGCTTGAAGACTAGAGAGTAGCATCAGGGCAGAGAATGACTAGTAGCGTAGTAGTAGATTGAGATTTATGTAATTAAACATGACTATGGCAATGTATAAGTATTTATTTTCAGGCAGGTTTCTAATTATTTTGAATTATAAACAACGCATTTTATTAGCCAATGTATCGTTTGGAATGTATTATATTCAAGACTCAGCATAAGATTCATTAACATGATTGAATATAAAATATTTTCCCAAGAGAGTTTGTATTGATTATAGGTTTTATTAAGACTTGAATAAATCCATATACTGAATGCAATTCATTGAATGAATATTAAATGCTATTGAGGATTTTATATTAGTTTATTGAAATTTAAGAAGTGCTGTTGTTTATGATTGATTATTGGTGTTTCCGTTTCATTATAAACGTGGGGTGCCATAGAGGCGAACTTACATCTCATTCCTTTGATTCCCGATCCCGGTTCCTTATCATAGTATTTCTGTAGGATTTTTCCCAATCTATTTAAAAAAAAAAAAAGAGATGGAAACGAAATGAAACATGCATTAACTCAAAAATGAATATACATATATATATATCATAATACGTAGATTCATATGGTAGCACCCACTTAAATGCAAGAGTGAAGTCTACACACGTGAATGCAACAAGATGATTTTAATATAGCTTGTGAAAATGCTCCATATGTACACTATACCCGTGTTACAATCCCAATACCAACGGTAGTCAAAATCTGCCATATCATTTAACATGTAAATATCTCCATAGCTACTTTCTGGAAAGTGAATACTGGTTGCTGAAAATCTATTATCTACCCAACTTCTTGTTTCTTCATCTAATTCAAAGTAGAATATATATGTGAGATATTTATTTGTAAAATTATGAAAAGAAAATCTCTCCAACAATTCGTTAAATCTTGCCCAAGCGGCATAAAATGGCTCTGAATGTTGTTGAATAAAACTTGCGACTACTTGTCGATGAAACATCATGAAGCACCATCCCAAGATATTTCGCCAAGAAAATATAAAAATAAAGAAAAACTATAAAATAATATTTACCAAATATTTCAATTAATAAATAGAAAAACAGTAACAATTAAAAAAATCGTCTACATTAATAATATGAATTACATTACTGCTATGATATGGTAATGCCCAATCCCCGAGCAATGTCCCGCCCAAAAATTTTGACCAGGCTCTTGTTTTCTCAAGTGCACTCCAACAACACAGTAATTAAAAATAGAGTCAGATGGAATATACACGTTCCCATGAGGATTGAATACCCAAGGGTTACCAAATGGTACCAAAATTATGTTAACCTACTATTATTTAAACGATAATAAGGAGAATTATTTTAAGAAATTAAATTAAAAGAAATAAAAGAGAATAAAAGAAACCAAGCAAGACAATTTGATGAAAAAAAAATCAAGGATTAAAAGCTACTAGGGATTTTGACTTCACTTAATGCTATCCAATTTGTTTTATTAGTTTGATAATCAATTTTAATTGTTCAAGTAGGGGAAATAACCCTAAAATTACTAACAAGCTCTACCAATGTATTGTTAGCTATTTTAACTGATCTAATTACCTATCTTCCAATAGCGCAATTAAACATGAATTAAATCATTAAGTTTTATAGTTTATTTGTGAATTCATAACCTAAGGTCGTTAACCAACTTATGAAACCCCCCATGTGTTCAAATCATAATAGCTTCCGTGATCAAGTTTATTATTCTTATATAATTTATTTACATTTTTCATTATCCAAAAACCCTTTCCGATAGTGATTTAAATGAAATAAATCAATCCATGGGGAGAAACTCTTGCCTGAAGCATTAAGTTCAATAATAAATTATACTTTGAACAAAGAGAATACTTTGAACAAGGAAAAGCAAATCTAATATTATAAATTGGAATAGAAATTAAGCTACATCAAATCTCTAGTATGAGAGTTTAGTTCAACATAGTAATTTTATAAAATTCAATTAAACTTGTAAATAATTCAATACAGAATAATAAACAAAAAGAAAGTTTAGAAATAAAAACTAGTCAACGATGGACTTGAGCGGCTTCCTTGAATCTTGACATCAATCTTGAGCACTTGAAGTCTTGAAAAGAGAGAACTATATAGAAAATAATAGAAGTAGAGATGGTATATACAATGAATGGATTCGACCCCTGATCATGGCTAGTCTCTCTCTTTATATAAACTTTTTGAAATATCTTCGTGTTCGTTTAGGAAAGTATAAACTTTTTGAAATATCTTCGTGTTCGTTTAGGAAAGTGAATCTTTATAGAGTAAGAAATTTTTTGGAGATAGAAAACTGTTTAGGCTTTGTATTTCTTTTCAATTAGGACTCTCCCAGTGTTTAAATAAGACTTCAACTTTAATAAGGTACGTTCCACAATATCTTCATGTGAGCAACACAAGCTTAATGTGAAATTTCGGCCCAAGTTGAACTCTGCAAAGTAGCACGGGGGTGCTAGGTAACACGCCCTGGGGTGCTACTTGCTGGAAGTCTTTGACAATTGATATTATGTTGCATTTTTGGCTGGTTTCCTATAAAAATCTTGCAAAATTCCTCAAGATCAAGTGAAATATAATTCAAGGAAGCTTTATTGAAAAACATAAATAAATAAAAATTAATTAAAATAATTAAAAAAACTTAAAATCTTATTAAAAACTATATTAAAAATACTATAAAAATAAGACCTATCAAAATTAGCTTGTTGGCATTGCACGTTCACCACCTCTACCTGTGCTTTGGCCAATTGAGCTTGAAGTTCACTGACTTGTTTTTGAAGGAGGGAAATATGACCTACACACCCATAAACCGGGTCTCTAATTCTTGCATTTGCTTCATAAATCATACTACTTACAGCATCTACTCTTTGACACTTAGGGAGATTCTAAAATATTCCAAAAGAAATAATAATAATAGAGTTAGAACTTAGAAGTATTCCTATTTGATGATTATATTTGAAATTTTAAACAATGTTATAAAAGCTTTTGTCAAAATTTTTTAGGGGAAAAAAAGTAAGTGAATTGGCAGAAGTAATTAATTATTACTATTTGTGTTCCATAATACTTGTCACATTTGAGAAAATAATTTGTTTCAAAATAATTATCATATTTGTGGTTTCAAAGAGTAATAATTTTTTCTTTTTTTTTATGTTTACCCTTTGTATGACCAATAATTATTACTTCAATTTACTAGTTTTTTTAGAGAATTAATATTAAATTAAGGGTAATATAATTAATTTACTCAATAATTTATTGTAACTTAGACAAATTTAATAATTGTTTTAAGGGACGTGAAATTTTAAATGTGACGTGACAATTATTATAGAACAGGAGTAGCATATTGAAATTTAACTAAATTTAAATGTGACGTAAATATTCACAAAACTAAGTAAAGAACGGAGTGAATATGTTACATAATCCACTCCAACACAATTATTGCAAATTAAATAGTTACAAATTGATTTAAGATGGACACGGAATATTAAAATTACAATATATGATGAGTTTGAGTAAGGTATGAGTTTAACTCTTTTGATACTTTTATCCATAACTTACTATATTAAACAAATTCAGTTTCACGAATTGAAAATTATGCTACCAAGGATTTTGAGCAAACTCTCTGGTTAATTTATAGGCAACCTATCCGCTTAATAAACACATTTTAAAAAACATTTCAGTCCAAATCAAACTAATTCAATTTGATTTGATTTTATAAACATTTCAGTTCTGTTTGATTTTTCCGATTTAATTAAATTTGAACTTGAGTCAACCAAATGTCTGCTCCTGTCTTTAGCTGCTCCTGTCTTTAGCTAAAATTAAAAAGAAAAATAATAAAACAATGTTAATTCATTTTCCAAAAATAAATATATCGAGAATTAATGCATGATATGCTGTGTATGGGAGAAATCTTAGAAACAATTATTTTAATCAACTGTTACTTCTGTTCTATAATACTTGTCACGTTTAAAATTCACATCTCTTGAGAAAACCATTAAATTTGTCTAAGTTACAATAAATTATTTAGTAAATTGATTATATTACGCTTAATTTAATACTAATTCTTAAAGAAAACTATTATATTGAAATAGCAATTATTAGTCATATACAAAGGGTAAATATGAAAAAAAAAATATATTTATTACTTCTTCAAACCACAAATATAATAAGTATTTTGAAATAAATTATTTTATCAAACGTGACAATTATTATGAAATAAAAGTTTTATACTGAAATTAGTATTTATTCATAAATTTAACTGTGATCCTAATAAATGAGATCATGAAAATAAGGGATCTCTAAATAAATAAATAAACATTTGTGAATTGTGATAGATAACTTATTCGATATGTAATTGACATATAATTATTTCTAATTAAAGAGTAATTTAAATCATAAATACCTGCAAGATATTTCTAATTAAAGAGTAATTTAAATCATAAATACCTGCAAGATCTTGACCGTATTGCTAACACCGAAAACACTATCAATGATGTTCAATTTATCTGGTTCAGTAGTTGGAGGAAAATAAGAAGCTAAATAACACTTATCAGTACATCGCCGGCGAAGGATTTCGCATGCGGCACAGGGTCCGACAACAGCCGCAGAAGGCGGATCAAAATGACTTGAAGAAGTATGGGAAGGCAGTTGAGGAAGACTTTGTTGAGAAGGCTGCAAAGGAGAATTAAGACTTGGAGAAGAATCGGAAGATGGACGTGAAGAACATGAATTAGATGACGGCGATGGTGATTGCAACGGCGACTGTGATGACGACGATGACGGTAATGATGGTTGAGAATAGGAATCTGTAGGGGCAAATAAGAATGGATTGTTTCCCATTTGAAAGAGAGACTCAGATCCAAAGAGAAAGCGAGCAAGGCAGAAGAGAAAATGGGCTAGTCAATGGTTTGGTTGGTAATCTTTTTCCAATTCTTGTTTGCAAGAGCTACTCTTCTTCCATGTCTCTTCACTCTTTCTTTCTTTTTGTTCTTAATTATTATGAACCTTGATATTGGTTAACAGTTACTTTTAATTAAGTTAATAAAAAAAATAAAAAATAATGTTTTATCGGTTGATATTTGATGATTATTAATTATTTGGTGAAGAGCCTCGTATAATTTATGATTTATTAATTATATAATACATGTAACATTTTTTTAAAATATAAATCACGTCTTATAAATAATTCAAAGTTTAATTATATTCAAATGGATTTTGAGCAACCTATCTTACCACACAATGAGAGTATACACACTTATAAATATTATATAAATTAAATTTATCAGTAGAAGATATGAAACAATAACCATTTGTTTGAGCACATTGCGACCAATGTTTTTAATTGTTAATCTCTTGAATAACTTCTTTTTGCAAATTTGAACCCCTTATCCAATTTATATTTTAAATTGATTCTTTGGTATATTGTACTTTGCAAATTTGAACCCCTTATCCAATTTATATTTTAAATTGATTCTTTGGTATATTGTACCATAAATTATATATTTTTTTACAATTAAATATAATAAAATCAAATTGAAAACTCAAAAAAAAAAAAAAAGCAAACCAAAATTATTAAATTAATTTCAACTTTTTGAAAGGTTCATATACTTTCTCATCATCAAAATCATATCCAAGATTATTATTGCACAATCATTCTTTGTAGAGCTCAAATTGATGAAGCAACGTGTATACTATTTTATTTTTTTAAAAAAAAAAGTTGAATAAGTAATGAAATAATGTAGTTATAAAATACTTTTATGTATGCTTTTAGCTTGATACAAATATATAGATATATGTAGATTGACATAAAATATAGATAGAAACTTAGATATTGTTATAAATATAGATAATCTTTTTTTAAAAGAAAAGAAGATTAAAGTAAGAATTATCTACACTTATCTATCAAATATATAGAAAAATAAAAGAAAAAATTTAATTGATATATGAAAAGTCGTTGATATATAGATAAGATGAGTTTAAAAAAAAAAAAAAAAGAATGAAAGTAAGTATTATTTATATACATCTATTAATTTCAAATAAATACTTTTAAAAAAAAATACTTTTAAAAAAAGAGATTTTTAATTATATATAACCTTTTAAAAATAGATAAGATTAAAAAAAGCAGTATCAATTGTAAATACATTACCTAAAAATAAATAAAGAAATAAAATATATAAAATATATTCCATTTAAAAATTGTTAAAAGTAATCTTCGTATCTAAAATCAGAAATTTTAATTTTAATATCCTTGAGCGTTTTAGAATATATATATTCTCAAAAAAATATATAAATGTAAAAAAATTTTAAGAATTCTTATAGCCAAAATATAACAAAAGGATCTAAAGAGGAAATGAAAAAAAGCTTTATTTTATATATATAAACTCTTCAATACTTTTAAGTAATTAAAAAGACAACACCTTTTTCAAGATTCCAATATGTAACAACACCTTTTTCCTTGAGATATCTATTCTTGAGTCAATTGCTAGCGTCACCTCAGGAATGTCATTCTTACTCCATAAAAAAAATAATGAGGGAACACCAAAAAATAATGAAATAGTCAATAATATTTGAATACCTATATGTGGAATGGTTAAAGAACCCAGTGTATTTGTTAGCAAAGAAAGACTTCATTGTAAACAAAGTAACCAGAGAAGTAAAATGCAACTGATTTTATTTCTGCACTGATTTCATTTCTCAAAACAAATAAAATTTTAAAATCAACACTATCCTATTCCTAGAAAATAGGGTTAAGTATATATCAATCTTATTGAGAATCCATATTAAGATATAGAATAAAGAGAGAGTAGAAGAGATACGTTTTGTGCGATTGAAATAATTTTTTAAAATAATAATTATCTGTAAATAATTTTTTAAAATAATAATTATCTGTCAATAATTATCTAAATTGCTGTAGAAAAAATAAATGATTAAAAAGTTATTGAAAATAAAAAAAAATTTATAAAAAAAAGCAAACGAAGAATGCTTTAGGAGAGGGTGCCATGTTATTATTGTGCAAGTTTAATATAAATATGTAAATAATTATATGGAATAAAAAGCGCAGGATTCCTTCTAGAATTATTTAATATCAAAAGAAAAAACCAACAAAAAAAAAGGAGAGATCATAGATCATAGAAACAACAATTTGTAACTGATAATTGCATATTGCATCTGAAAACTGAAAGAAAATGGGCGAGCTTTACCAACTGCGAAGAGTAGATCTAGACATATTGAATTGTCATCAATGTCAATTTTGATACTGTTAGTTCACATTTGATTACTGTTTAGTTTTCACAAGCAATAAGCGGTGAAAAAAAAAAAAAAAAAAAAACAATTAAAAACAATTATTTATTATGTACCCACAAAGAAGAAAGAGAGATTTTTATATTATCATAGAAACAATAATACCTAATAATTTCAGATTGCGCTTGAAAACTGAAGATTGTTCCGTTGCAGAGGATGTTCTTGCCGGAGATGACGCCACTTTTCAGAGTGTTAGTATTTCTTAATGTGATGAGATTATAAATAGATAGATTAAACATATTAAATTAAATGGATACGGAGACAGATAAGAAAAAAAATTCAAAAATTTCAAACTAAGTAATTATATAATTATTTTTCTATTGATTAGGAATATTAAGGTCCAATCAAAATGTAATAAATAAAATGCAAAAGAAAATTTAAAATTCTGTTAAAAAAGATAAATAGGAATGTTGAACGTAGAAAATATGTTGAAATTTAAAATTCTGTTAAAAAAGATAAATAGAAATGTTGAACGTAGAAAGCTATCTTGAAGTTATTTTTTGCTTCAATTGATATATATATTGTAATAAATATATAGATATTACAATTTACTTGACACTATCTATTTTTATCCATGTTTTTTTTAAGTTTTCTCCAAAATTATTATTATTTTGAGAAAATCAAGAAGTATTAATTATTTTTAAATTTATTCTTATCATGAACTTCAACTTTAGTTACGATAGTACTCTAATTTCAAATTGCACTCAACATTAAAATAAAAAATATATGTTCATCTTAAAAATATATATATTATTTATTTATATAATATTGACAAATTTATTTATATAATATTGACAATAATTATTTTCCTTAAAATAAAATTAAGTTGTAATAAATAAAACTTATTTTTATAAGAAATCTAACTTAATTATAATGTCAATAAACCCTAACTAAAATTTCATGCTTAAAAAATGACAAAACAAAAACCTAAATATTCTATGCTTATAACTAACTAAAATTTACCATTTCACTTAGCTTTTATGAATTTTAAAAAAATTCATAATAAATATTATTTAGGATGTTGTTAAACGGTGAGTTTTTAGTTAACTTGATCATATATGTCCAACGAAAATAATATCCTTCCGTCCCATTTTATTGCTTATTATTCCTTTTTTGGATGTCTCAAAACGTTTGAAAGGTTTCTAAATTTACATATGTAAACAATTATCTTTTTCATGATAACATTTATGATTGTTCATTAAATGAATGAATTCTATTAATATCTTAATGAATTAAGGGTAAAAAATAGAAAATGATTTTTTTTGACTAAATTCTTAATTTGAATATTTTGTCAAATCAGAAAAACAAAATAAGACGGATGAAATATTTTATTTATTACATTAGATACAATTTAAAATTAGGGTGCTATTGTAACTAAACTTGAATTAATTCAAGGTATTAGAAGAAGAAAGCTGGATATACAGTACAATTAAAACTATTTGCAAAGTTTGAGATTTTTTTTTGTAATGATTTAGCCTTTAATTACATTAAGAAGTTTAGATATATCAATGTAAAGCCATGCCAAGAAAGCTTTCTCATTCTAATTCTCCATGAAGCAATCTACTTTGAGTATTATATTTCTACTTTTTGTTTCACAATTTTCTATTTTTCTAATATTAATTTTAGTTATGATATAATAAATTTTTTATTTGTTTGGTTTTAATTTCAGTTATTTTGTAATTATTTTTGTATTATTTATTGTTTTATTGTAAACTTGTAATTTTTAGTGGCTTTTCTATTTTTGTGTTGTTAACTTTAGTAATGTAACTAGTGTTATAACCCATGCGATGCGTGGAGCAATATTAAAAGATGAAATCATCTTTTATAACATCATTCAAAATAAGTAAAATTATATAATAAAATGATAAATTATATCTCACTGAGATATGCTTAAAAGTTACAATGCTAAGATATTTCTTCTTAAGTATTCTGCGAAATCTTTCATAAGGTATGTAATAGCAAAAACCATACATGGTATGACCTACATCATAAAATGCATACACATATTAATGTATTTTTCAATAGTGATAATAATTTTGAGAATTTAAGTAATTATATTGAATTAAGAAATTAAGTATTTTTTTATTTTTTAAGTATTTTTTTATTTTATGTTTACGATTTATTATAAATGATTGTTTATTTATCTGAAATATCAATGTATTACTTATTTAGTGTAGTGTGTCTTGAGTATGTGGATGTCCCACTTTTTTAAAAATTATCATATCATGTACGTTCTCATATCTCATGTACCATATTCATGTAACCTAACTTTTGGTATATGAGACCACTTTATATACTAAGCTAATCAACTAAGGTTTTGTTTTATTACCAATAAAAATGAAGTGTTTTTTTTTTTAATTTATTTTTATGTCATTGAAATAAAAAATTAAGTTTTTTGTATTTTATGTTTGTAATTTATTATAAATGATTATTTATTTATTATTAATTTATTTATTTGAAAATTAATGTATTACGTTATTTAGGGTGTGTGTCCTAAGCATATTGGATGTGTCCTAAGCATATGGATGTCCTATTTTAAAAAAATTATTGTATCAGGACGTTTCCATATCTCGTGTCCCGTGTTCGTGCAACCTAGCTCCCAGTATATAAGACTACTCCATACACCAAGCTAATTAATCAATGTTTTTTTATTACCAATAAAAATGAAGTATTTTTTTTTAAAATTTTATTTTTGTG